ATCAAGTTTACCGGCTATAATCGGTATATAACCAAACCATATTAACCGGTGCTTCACGATCGAAATAGACCGAATGTATTGTTATGTATTATTTAGTAAGTAGTAGGTATAGTTATTAAGTAATTGTACCAGAGTGTACTGGCAGCCGGCAAAGAAGTATTACCATCCTCTTGCCATCTATACTGTCCTGTTTGTACTTCTGCTATACTACATATTTCTACCGCAAAATAATCATATCAGGGATCAGCCGTCACATAACAAATCTGAAATGTCGACCTAGGTACATTCACAGCGTGATTTCAATGGTAGGTAATAATTTAACATCGGGTAGTTCGCTAGTTTGTTTCTACATACAGAACGATCAAATTATCTAAATAGGGTATCAATCTGAAGATTCCTTTAGAAATTCAATGAAAATAAAGAAGAACTGTGTTAAAGTACTCGCTGGTCATTAAAAAGTGTATTATCTTACGGATAACGCAACAGATGTCTCGCATCTTCCTCTTGGGATAAAAATTAAAGTACAGACATAGCTATTTCCTGTTGCTTTACCGGCCCATTTTCTTATTGTTGTTATTTCTACATAGATATCGTTCACTTAATATGGATCCAACAGTCGCATAGTAATATTTACATAGTGTAGAAATAAATAAGTACTGAGGGTTTTAGTCCCGTTGACTTGACGCCGGATAGTCTTCAAGATCCTGGTATCCTAATTGTTTCGAACAGTTTGATCTCAAACTGTTTTTTTTTTTGAGAGTACTTGCCGACATTGAGTGTTGGCGACGAAAACTCAAACTGTTAAACACGCGATTTTCCAAAGAGCAAATGGGGCGACGGAAGTTTGCTTTTCATGCTCACACTTTTTCTGATTCCATCAAACCATCTACGAATGCTTCAGATATTCTAACCGCTTGAAAGGCGTGACACAAAAAACATATTGCAAGTCTGCGTGTCACAAATATCACTGTGTCGCTTATGCCTCGAGGTCATTTGGCTTTTGGATTTGAAAATAGACTAGCTATGCATAAAAATATAATTTAAGACATATATCTATATTGCAATTACCATTAGAAGGAATACGTTAGAAGGAAACGTGTTATACGTTCGTATATTTTGTTTGTCTGTATGTTTTTCGACGAGACTAATCTCCGAAGCGTCTGTATTCCTTCTAATGGCGTATTTCGCGTGTTTTACTTTTAGTAAGCTACAAATATCCATAATATGAATGAGTATGCAGTGTTCACAATATGCTTATTTCCACATTTTATATTAACAGACGCATTTCGCATTTATTTTATATAGGTTGTGGTGCACAAGAGATTATAAAGAACTTGCTCGTAAAAAAAATTTAAATTGATTTTAGTGTGAAAACGCAGATAGGAGATATATGACAGGGTAAGTATACTTGTTTTTGAATGTTTAGGTATATTATTGTGAATTTTGTTGAGTTTGTACAGATTTTGTGGCTATGCACCGGTGTTCGAATCCCGCTGGCAGGTATCAATTTTTCTAATGAAATATGTAGGTACTTAACAACTGTTCACGATTGACTTCACGATTGATTGGTCTCAGCATGATGTTATTTAATATAGCTTTCTCCGATCTGGTCAAGCAATAACGACAGATATCTACTGTGCCGAACTCCGAATGATAGTAAAACTTGCAGTGAAACAGCCCCGACTCGTGAATCGATCTTCACCATTATTGCTCCATGGTAACGCGAGACCTCATGCAGCACGAGAAACCATTTTAACTCTACAGGTACTGCAATTAGAAACCGTTCGTCACCCTCCGTATTCGCCAGACCTTGCTCCAACAGAGTACAATTTTTTTCTTGATTTGGACAATTTGCAACGTGATAAAAAAAAATCTTCCAAGGAGGTAGTACAATTTTTATTTTTTTATTCCTAGATTGTTGGACGAGCTCACAGCCCACCTGATGTTAAGTGGTTACTGGAGCCCATAGACATCTACGACGTAAATGCGCCACCCACCTTGAGATATAAGTTCTAAGGTATCAAGTATAGTTAGTTACAACGGTTGCCCCACCCTTCAAACCGAAACGCATTACTGCTTCACGTCAGAAATAGGTAGGGCGGTGGTACCTACCCGCGCGTACTCACAAGAGGTCCTACCACCAGTAATTACGCAAATTATAATTTTGCGGGTTTCATTTTTATTACACGATGTTAATTCCTTCACCGTGGAAGTCAATCGTGAACAATTGTCGACTACGTATTTCATTAGAAAAATTGGTACCCGCCTGCGGGATTCGAACACCGGTGCATCGCTCAACACGAATGCACCGGACGTCTTATCCCTTAGGCCACGACGACTTCTTTCTGCTTTCTGACGACGAAGTGCTTTCGTACAGTTTGTAGAATCTAGATCACCAGAGTCCTAAGGCATAAATGACCTTCCTATTCCTGGCAACAGTGTGTAGATAATAATGGTAGATATTTTGATTAAATAAATATGTTAAATGGAAAAAAAAGAAGTTAAATTTTTCAGTACAAATCGCTAATTTCATACTTTAACCCCTAATGTAATATATTGAAAGTACATTCTTACTTAACGAATCTGGTAAGTTGCCGATACCGTAGTACCATGCGCGTGCTTCTCGAACGTAAACACTATAGAAAATAGGACCGAGTAATGGAATTAGCAGACAAACGTTGTCAAGGATTACTCCATGATGACCTGGAGCTCGACTCAGTCAGTAAGTACAGCCGGCATCATTGCACTTTGACAAGGCGGCACGACATAAAAGCCCTCTTGTCGATAAAACTTCTACTGGTAATTACATAGGTACCTACCCGATCCTGTGGACCGAATGGTAAACAGTGGACGTCGCTCTAAACACGTCATTACGGATCCTCCCGATCCATTATCGGTGCTTTTAGGGACCACAAGAACCGGTCACCGTCCTCGCCGAACCCATCGCTTGCGACGAAGGGCTCGACGAGTAAATTAACCCATAGACACAGCCCACTGAGTTACTCCCCGGATCTTCTCAGTGGGTCGCGTTTCCGATCCGGTGGTAGATTCTGCGAAGCACTGCCCTTGCTAGAGACAGTGTTAGCAACACTCCGGTTTGAGCCCCGTGAGCTGACCTACACGTCAAGGAGAAGCTGAAATAGCATCTCAAGGCTATCAGCATAGGATGAAAAAAAAAGGAATGAAAAAAAAAGTTTCGAAAAAAAAGGTAAGCTTTTTATTTACAAAAACATTAAATTTCTCACGAGCTCCTTGCGTAAACACAAAAAAACAAAGTGAACAGTAAAAAATAAAATAAGCATTTCATATACCTATCTAATAAACTAGTATACTTATGTGGGTATGTAACAAAAAGTACTTCGATTTAAGAGAATGGCTTGAACTATTTGTGTTGAACACTATTCATTAAAATCAATAAAAAAATAAAAAAATATAAATATTTACTAACAATCACGCCACGTTAACTGGTCCCGTGCTAAGTTCGTAAAGAATTTGTGTTACAAGTACCACATAACGGAAATAAATATAATATTTTTATTATACACATACATATATTTAATATACACCCATAACCCTGGAAAGACATTTATATTTATCATACAAATATCTTCCCTTGGCGGGATTCGAACCAGCGACCCCCTTGTGTAGTGACCATGTCACTTACCACTACACCAGACGGCCCTTAAAATTGTAAAATTAAAATTGTAAAATAAAATTGTAAAATCATTGAAAGTATAATTAGAGCGTCTATGACTAGTTCACAACAAAACCACGTGTAGGTGACCAAATTCAGACCAACAAACATTAGAGCTCGCTTAAAATAATATCGAGCCACAACTGTTGATGACAAATATCAATGTTGGATTGTACAAGTGAAATGTGTTAAGAAATATCCGACCTTTTAAAAAAAATTATTACTTAGATATGTGGATGAGCTCACGGACCACCTGGCGTTAAGTGGTTACCGGGGCCCATAGACATCAATAAAGTAAATGCCGCCACGCACCTCGAGACAAAAGTCTGACCCCCGTATCTTTAGCCGTTTACACAAACTTAACTCGACTCGACTCAACCTCCAACGCGCGTTTTGGTATGCTTAGTCGTAAAAATAAATTTCACTCAAACGTCCTTGGAAAATTTTCCTCACCGGAGTGGAGTGAATGAACTGTTCAAGTCAAGGTACGTCGCGGCGTACCTTGAACGTTCCTCAAGGCTGGTTTTCTATCAATGTCCAAATAGTATGTGGACCGCAAATGGAAATATATGATATTGTTGTGCATGATTCGCGCATATTTTGATAATTTAATTTTGATAATATTTATTAATAAAGTAACTAGTTCGAGGATAGACATTTGAAACTCTTTATTTTATTTACCTACATAAGAGACATATTTTGCTTACTACCTGATAAATAAAGTCAATGCGATTATAAGTTTTATTTATATAATAATAAACTGGTGGTTGTGGAAAAGCACTTAAACAACACGATGCAATCAAAATCACACAAAAGCGGCGAATAAAAATACAAAGCCGGGACTGAAATTTAAAATAATAAAGGCTTAGAAAATAAATACTACAATTTCAAATTTACCGCACGCACACATATTTACGAATAACTCAGCAAATAAAACATCGAACAAGTTCAATGCTTCTAGTGTCAAACAGACAGTGGCAGCTTGACTTTGACATTAAACAATGACCATAGACTACAGAACTCTATGGGTTTGATGCTAGCTTGATCAAAATTTCCCCAAACTGATGTTGTCGTGGTGGCGCAATAACACGACTCTACCTCACTAGAGGACAGTTGAGGAATTTTGTAATGGTCGACTAAAAATACCAAACTCGAGTAAGTTTGGGAGGAATATTCGAGCATCATCGGATGAGTTAAGAGTGGAGGACTATTTGACGAAACGTCTAAAGATACGGGCATAAGTCTCAGTTATATCCCTCAAGCCGAAACGCATTACTGCTCCACGCCAGACATAGGCAGGGTCGTGGTATCTACCCTGGCGGGCTCACAGCACGCCGTAACACCAGTAATTTTTTTTTTAGAATGAAATCAATCACATTAAAATATTGCACTGAATTCCATTAATTCATTCTTTCAACCTGTTTTTTCTGACATTTTTAAACATATCGCAAACGCCTCTTATTAAGTCAACTGTTTCCGGCTTTAGCTGATCTAGTAACGCATCTCGGGCTTTAAATAGGTCTTTTTGGATATCTTTGGCGGCTTCTTCGTTGATACAAGAAAAGAATTGAGTGGATAAATTTATTAGATCGTGGGAATTGATCATGCTTGTGAATAGGTCTTTATCAAAATCCCTAATAATCTGCATTAGTTCTCTGCCAACGTGCTTATAGTCAGAATCGAACAAGGCCAACAGTAAAGAGGTCTTATCGAAGAACCGTGATATGCTAGTAACATTCTCTTTGTCCAAATTCACTTCGATACTTTTAACGAGGACATTCACCAAATTTGATAGGCCTTCATTCACAGCCAAATTGAGAGGAGACTGCGTACCGCCTCCCGAATCATTTTCTTTATCATTATCTCTTATTAGTAGATCGAACACAATCTTCCTACACTGATCCGATGCGGTTAAAGTCGACAATTCTGAATCGTTCTTCAATTTATAATCGAAAGCCTTTCTAACCGACTTTGGACAGTTAAGAAGAAATATATTAACAACGAAATCCCATAGTTGCCTGTTTCTGATTACATTTCTCGGATCTGCGGTCTTCATAATTTCAATAACACAATCCAACAAGCAGTACTCGGCAAGCACTGCGTGGAAAAACCTGGGAACATCGTTCAGAACGCAGTCGACCAGCTCCGACTTCTCCTCGCCGGTTTGCAGACGTGTCACGGTTTCTTTTACTTCTTTTATTTCGTCTTCAGAAAGTAACTGCTTCAGATGTTCCTCTTTGCATACGGCCAAGAGAGCCAACCTTTTATGTTTCACAAAGAATTCCGTACGTTTTTGGTCCTCAATCGTTTCGCTTACGCTGCCATCGCCGCACAAGTTCTGCAAGTTGGCCTCAAGGAATTGTCTATATAAGGACAAACTATTCAAGATCAAGTCCCATTTACTCTTAACCTCCCTACTGTCGAAGTCAATCCTCATTTTCTTGTTCCCATCTTTTACTTTGCATTCAAAGTAATTCGCCGCCAAATACATGTGCAGCGGTGTACCGGCTAACTCGACGGCATCTACCGCGTCCGGGGCCTTGTCTAAGTACGTCCCTAGCGTCGTTAGTTTGTCCATATCGAAATTAAACTTCTCTTTTAATTTGTCGCTAACGTTTTTAGTTGTGATGCTGTTTAATTCGCTTTTAAAGAAGTCCATGGCCACGAAATAGAGCAAATGTAGGGGTGTGCTAATCCATGGCATCATTTTACGTTCGTCGTTACCGAAACTATCGATCCCGGTGAAATATTCGAAGAAGTCGCTAACGTTCATGAACTGTTCGTGATTGAGTTTTTCCAGTTTCAGATTTGTACTGAAAAATTTGTAAAAGAAACCTTTCTGACCTTCGTGATCTATCGGCTCCAAACTATAAGGCGTACCGAAAACATTTTTTAAGACATTAACCGCGTGCACATACAAAGAACACGTAATCCACAATCTATTTTTATCGTTGTGTATGTTACGTAAAATGCTCATAGTCTGTTTCTCATAAGGGGGGCAGGCGTTACTGAATCCATTAAATAAAAAGATTATCCTACGTTTATTGTAATAATACAGGAACAAATCTAGCTCCAGTAATATCGACGGGTCGAGATTATCATGAGAAACTAAAACGATTTCCGAGTCGCGTTCTTCTAATTCGAACACCGTTTTGTTGTTTACCGACTTCAAAGCTACAGTACACATAAATTTAACTATCTTCTTTTTGTCCAATATTACGTTACCCCTTCGCCAGACTTCGAAATCGTTCAAATGGTCCGACAAGTTAACGCGTACTATCCAACTAGAAGTATACAGCTTTTTATGTTCCACTGACAAATGGGTAAGAAGAGTAGCTTTCCCCATATTAGGCTTCGCTATAATGACTGTGACATCATCATCAATGTCTTGGAAAGTGTTTACTTCAACTTTGACGTCATCTTTTTTCAAACACCTTTTAACGAAATATTTCTTGATGTCTTCGTATTTAGCGTCCGTTATAGACTTCCCTATCTCTATTTTCTCTTTATTGATCAATTTGGTTAATGTGGGAGCTTTTAATAGGTATTTCGAATCGTCGTCTACAACTGTTGCGAGATCCACATCTTCCCCTTGAAAAACAATCGTTGAATCTTCGAAGAATTTCCTCTGAGATTTCGGTACGAACTGATCAAAACCATTGAGCTCGTCCGCGACCTTATTGTACTTTAATTCGAACTCCTTTTCGAGTTCAGACCCCAGAACTTGATTCGTGACAATTATAATTCTTGGCCCGTTAAATTTTTCAACAATAAGCTTCAGTTTCCCGTCTATCCCGTTCGTGTTCTTAGGTGGCTCGTAAACGACTATCAGAGTTTTAACGTTGGAATACTGCAGCTCCAAGAACATGCTGTTATAATCGTTCGGAGGCAAACTAAGAACGTAGTCGAAGTCCACGAATATGTAATCATTAGCGCTTCTGAAAAATTGTTTTATTTTGATTCCCGTGAGTATGTTTGAGTCCGTGACGACGTTCACAAGACCAGTCTTGTATTCGTCTAGATTGAGCGCTTTTACTGCATCCATAGAAAATTCTATACCAAACTTCTTCACTTTATTCACATACATTATATTCAGGACTGTCAATAAAGGACTGTCGACAATATCCCTTTTGGATTTTTCGAATATCTCGCTGTCTTTAGTTAAATACGCAGCTTCGGAGGGAAGCATCCACCATTTTTGTATCTCGTCATGAAATCGAAGATACACAGCATCCGAATGAATCCTGAATAGAAAATTATCTTCGCCTCTCTCAGCGTTGTAGAATTTATCAACTTCTTTTTTCACAATCTTCTCAACCTCGTCCTCTTTCGCTTGGTTCGTGTAAAACCAAAGTCGATCTAGGAACTGTTTGGCCTCCATTTTATCATATTCATCTTCGAGAAACGAAAGTCTAGGGAAATTCTTTAGGCATATTTTTAGCCTGTAGTCCTCTATGTTTTTACCTTCGGGCAGAACTGATTTTAGTACGAGCAATAGTTTATTAGCCCTTTCCGGTAAAACTTCCGAAGTATTAAATTTTAACATTTTCGTATCGTTATCGCATACAATCAGGTTGCCGACCGCTCCACCTATACCATCGCTTATTTCGAAAAAGCGATAATCTAATTTACTTTCGTTCGATTCTGTATTAGATTTTATTTCATTTTCAGTTATCTCAATAACATTATTTTCACATTCGAAAAGGGTTTTAAATTTCGACGCCATGAAATTCAGTTGCTTTTTTATTTTGTTATCATTTTTCTTCAATAAGTCAAATGTTCCGAAATATGACGGTAGTTTGAACACTAGTGGCTGTAACCGTGCTTTGGCTGCTATATTTATAGCTTCCTGTACAATAGACGAAGTAACTTCAACATTAAAAATGTCCTGGTTCAGTCTTTTTTTCTCTTCACCGCTGAATTCTTTGGATGTTAAATTTGATTCGATCAATTTAAGTTTACCGAGTTTATCTTCGTACGTCACTATTTTGCCGATAATTTCACTGATACTTAAACTAGAGGGCTCTTTCATTAACTTCTTACATAAAGTGATAATTTCTTCTTTACGAAGATTCGTATCTTTGCAATAGTTCTGAACTGTTTCTTTAAAAATTGTGTCTCTCAATAAAACAAATATATCCTCATTAGTAGCAAAAAACTCTTGACTGAATTTACATGTAATATAATCTTCAGATTGTGTAGCAATTATTTGAATAACTTTTCTTGATAGAATCACGTGATATTTCCTTATTAGCTGGTCNATAATTTCTTCTTTACGAAGATTCGTATCTTTGCAATAGTTCTGAACTGTTTCTTTAAAAATTGTGTCTCTCAATAAAACAAATATATCCTCATTAGTAGCAAAAAACTCTTGACTGAATTTACATGTAATATAATCTTCAGATTGTGTAGCAATTATTTGAATAACTTTTCTTGATAGAATCACGTGATATTTCCTTATTAGCTGGTCAGTCATGATCATATCAATTTTTTTGGGTGACATTATGAAATTCAGAAACGTTTTACCTAATAACTTAACACGTTCCTCTTGTATTGAACGAGTTAAAAAACTTATATGTTCATCATTGTACTTAAATTGAAAATTTGTACTGTTTTTTCCACTGCGTATGAGATTATGAATTTTGTGACATTGAACGTTGTGCTTATCTGATTTCATATCGAAAATGTCTTTAACGGGAGTATATAGCACCAAATTAAGTTCCGTATCAACATTTTCATCGGCTATCAACGTTTTACTGATTGTCGCCTGCAGTTTATCTTTGATTCGTAAATAGCTGTCGAAGTATTGCGGCAAACTAAAGTCGCTGTTATCGCGAAATAAATCGTTGACTGATAGCCTTCCCTTGTCGATATCTTCTCTGTGCTTCGCCTGGAGAGCCAATACAACGACTTTATTGTCGTTTTTCACTTTGTACATAAAAAATATGTCGTCCAAAGCCCCTATGTGTCGCACATTTGTGGCCAAACAAAACTTAGCGATGTCTTTGTCGTTCGCTGCTCTCATTAAAATTAAACTTAGCAGTTTCGTCTCGTAAAGTTGTCCGCCGACGGCCGATGTCCCGACCCTTTTCGGGAATAGGATCTCTTTGGATGTTTTACCGGCGTTCGCCTTTTTTGGCGGCAACTTGACTTTCTCGACTGCGTTTTTAATTTGGGGAGGACCGACATTGCAATTTTTTAGTATATCCACGATTTCGCGACCGGCTTCAGTGTTTATTCCTAAAGCTAGATCCATTGGTGTCTTGTCGGCCTTGTTCTTCTGTGTCACAAACGCTCTTGTTTGCACTAAATGACGTACGACATCTTTTTCTGACCTCTTGACAGCTATGTGAAGAGGAGAATTATCTTCGTCATAGCCGTCCACATGGTTGATGTTCCCTCCGCTTTCCAAGTAGTTGTTGATGTCATTTATTTTCTCTTCTTCGCTTTTGTTTGTTCGCAGTGCTATGAAAAACATGCATTTTCGGATAATTTCTTCATCGGTTAAGGTCATGTTGAATCGTTGTCTTAAATTTTTTTTCTCTATCTATGTTGGATGAGTTCAAAGACACGTATATACAATTATTAATTAATTTATTATTAATATTAGTTCTTCGGTTCTTATCGTTCTTTAATTGCACTGGATCCTTGGTGTGGGTTGCTATCTGAAAACAAATATAATATCTTCGTTATTATTAAGTCAGTAAAATGGATAATACTGTTATCTTTTACGCAATTTCCTTTGAACTATTGAGATCAAAAATATTTATTCTCATTTTAAATTTTTATTTTATTGCCTTTGTAGGCAGACGAGCATATGGCCCACCTGATGGTAAGTGATTTATGTCGCTCATGGACGTCAGCAATGTCAGGGGCAGTGACGTGGAGACCCGCCTCAGAGAGTTCTCTACTTCAGACACAAGTTTCTTTATTAGTATTTAGGATTCCAGAAGACCCGTGCTTTGTTAATAACAAAAGAGACGACCTAATAAATAACGTTATCCCACTAGGACTTGGACCAAATCGTTTCCAGGATTTTTAAATAGTTAGATAGGATATATATTTTTTTCAAGACAATCCGTACTATATCTTATCACAATCAATACCTTTTGTAAATTACGGTAATTTGACTCTACATATTCATTATCATTCTCTTGCCCTTTTCCCAGTCACCTGGGGTCGGCGCAACATGTTTTCTCCTTCCATACTCCTCTACCATATACCATTTCTTCTCTCACTCCCCTCTTACACATATCGTCTTTCACGAAATTCATCCATTTTTTCTTAGGTCTACCTCTTCCTCTAAAGTCTAAAGCCTACCATATTCATAGATAAAACTCTCTTAACAACCTTATTGCCATTTCGTCTCTTTACATGTCCATACCATCCACACGCTCGCACTATCAAATATTTTCATTCCTAGTCTCGGGTGAAAAGCCTGCACGGAAAATAGTCAATGTGGGTACTTATCAGATAATAGGGTTACGCGACCCTCCCCTACTATAGTAGAATTATTTTGTCCGTGCAGTTTGGGTCATAAAACATAGCCGGCGGTGAGCATGTTGCGCGGGCGCAACGCCATTATCGATAAAAACAAATGAGTCATCGAAGGCAGGTACACGGCGGCGGGGTAGTATACGAAGGGTGGTGAGACATTGTTATGTTAAGAATCATTTGTACTTACTTGCATTCGTTCTCTGAATTTCTTTAGTGACACAATGGCTAGTCCTTTGTTTTGTATCAAAACGGCATAAGTTATTCAAAATAATACTTGCACGTGTTGTTATCAACAACGTGTTAAAAAAATTCACTGAAATAAAAATAAATCCCGAAAAGTTACAAAGTGTTAATTTCTGCCGTTCTTGTTAACTTTCTGCGGCGATATATGGTGTAAGTGTTCGATTAGTGATTCTTTCTTTCATTTTTATCACTAACCCACAAAATGACAAAACTAAATACATTATCGATAACGCTTATCGACAACAATAATGCGCATCACTATGCCCGTCCATAAGGCTCGTGAGTAGAAGAGAGAGCGAAATACTCGCTTCACCGCTCCGATATTTTATGACCCAAACTGCACGGACAAAATAATTCTACTATAGACTATAGGCATCTTTTAGTCAGTCTTCGTCTTCTTCTCAGACTCTACTAGCCGTCCGCTTCGAAATTCCACCTAACTTTACTAGTTTATATAATTCTATCTCTCATCAACCGAATGATCATTGTTCTATACTCTTCGTATATAGTGTGTTACTTATAATATTTTGTATTCAAGTTTAACAATATTTGCTATGTGTATGTGCATTACTATAATTCTCATGTTGTATTTGTTATTTTAGCTGTTCTACATACACTCATCACTTTTAATTATTATTCTCATAATCCTCTCGCAGGTCTGCTGGAAGAGATTTCTTAAGAAATAAGCAGTGCCTTTCTACATAATTTTCCTATTACTCTGTACTAGGTCTTCTTTTTTGTGTGTACATAAATAAATAAATAAAATAAATAATAGTTTACTAAGTTTACCTAAGAGATTTAACAATTCCCAGTTGGTATATTCGAAAATACATGTTTTATGACTAAGCTCACTATAGATAAAATGCGTCGCGGCTTGAGGAAGTATCCGTTGTGTGGTTTTGAATAAAACGAATTATTATTCAGTAAAACTTGTTACAGCTTCAAATTCTTTTGTGCGTTTTTCTGGAAGCTTCGAATGACTCGTATTGATCAGTCCTCACTAAATTATTATAACACTAGCGGCCCGCTCCGGCTCCGCTCGGGTCTTTAACAAAAATTTTACCGATATTTGATGTTGTTTTATTTTTTTTAATAAAAGAACACATTGTGGCATACCTATAATAGTTAGACATATGCTGTCATGACACTTTTTGGAACGAAGTTCCTTACGGCAGGCTTGGAGGGGATAGGGATTTTGCTGCGCGACCGAACTGAAAAAAATGTGATAGTAAAACCGTAAGAAAAAATCCGTGTAAAAAAGTGCGTGGAATAAAACCGTTAAATGAGACGTGCGCAGGCGCGACAGTCGCATACACAAGCGAGTAATGTATCCCTCTTTCTTTTCGTTCTCTCATCCATTCTCTTTCTATTATTATTTCTATTTTTCTATTTCTATGTAATTTTTATGTTGTCAAACAAAAATAAAGAGACATATTTTGTTATTTTAGTTGATAATTTGAATTACGATGTTTTTTTATTTTAAGTAATTTATTATTTCCTAAAATACTGAATTTCCTAAATACTTTCTTGTACTTAAATAAAAACTAATCAGCAAAATTTAAGAGAAAAATCAAGAAAAAATCAAGAATACATAAAATTGAGCACAATTTTTTTTGCAATTTGTGTCAATTCTACATTAGCCGAAGGAACTTCGTGCCTACCTGGTGTCCCACGACACCACATAATTACTTTTTATAAATACTAAAGTGCTCTACAAAGTCGTAGTACATTATTTTATTCTATCATCAATAGTTTTCGCAAAGCACGCAATGTAAAGAATACTTTAGGTATTTTTTTTACACCTTGGGTTACATTATTGGAGTTTTAGTAAGGAATCCCTAACTTTTTTCAAAAAAGATTATAGCCTATGTCACTCGGGAATAGTGTAGCTTCCAAACAGTGAAAGAATTTTTCAAATCGGTTTAGTAGTTTCAGAGCCTATTCAATACAAACAAACAAACAAATCTTTCCTCTTTATAATATTAGTATAGATGAACAAAAACTCATTTAGCAGTGGAATTGCACTGACTTACTATTTATTGTATAGTACAAATTCTCGTCTATTGATCAGAAATTCGACGATAATCACTGACATCGTAAGCTCTAGCCTTCAGTTTATACATATCCAATACATATATTGGATTTTCAGGTGGGAAAAATACCTTGTTTGCTATCTTTATAATATTATCTATATATTTCCCTTTTTACGAAAATTGCGCGGACGGAGGAGTATGAAATTTTCCATACTTATAGAGAATATAGAGAAGAAGTGCACAATGCGAATTTTTTTTTAAATAATGCATAAAAGATACATTAAATCAATAAAGAAAACATTACACACACTACATACCATGTATCTGACGCACACACGCATGCATACTATTTATTATCAAACTTTTGTTCTTGACGTCTGTTGTCAAATTGAGAATAGGTTAAATATTGTTTGACTTTGTTAATATATTTTTCATAGTGTAGTCTTGGCGAAATTTGTATAAAATACAACCATAATAGTGTACAAACTTACAATTCCAATTAATTATAGTCGAATTTCGACTACTGCGGGACCTCTAGTATCGTTAATTATGTAAAAGACATCATTCTCTCGACTCGCACGCCATTGCTTATGATTTATTTGCGGTACTGCCCCCAGAGCTCCAACGATGCTATGCAAAGTTTATAGTGAGACTCTCTGAGATTTAGGACGGTGTGAAGACGGATGACCGCATCTATTTTGTTTATATCTATGGGCTATGGTGACCACTAAAGACTAGGTGAGGTCAGACACTCGCCGGATGACAAAAAAAGAAAACGTTTCAAGTTTATAACTTACGTAATTAAATCCCACTTAAATAAACATACTCTCTGTCCCTCTCTCTCTATTTCGTTCGTTTGAAATCGGCCGTCCAGTGTGCTTATTGTGAGTTTTTTAAAGTTCTCGATAGCGTAAAAGGTTAAGCAAATTTGTATGCACTGTATGCAGTTGAAACAGCGCCCCTAGTGGCACACGTAGGCATACGTTCCAACTCCATACAAATTTGAGATAACTTTAACGCTATCGAGAACGTTAAAAAGCTCGCACTAAGCACACAGTGATCGTAACAACCCCAGTAAGGCAAATTTGTCACAAACTGTGCGACTAATTTAAAAAAAAAATACTAACCTTATACATTTGAGCATTACTATACTTGGCATTTTACCGGGATTCTCGATGCCAAGCCCAAGCGAATTTGACAGCATAGATATAAAAATCGCTTATTTGGTTATTAACGAATCTGCACCTTCATTAGTCTCTTTCTTGTAAAACATTTAATAATCTCGTCACAACAAAATAATCCAAACTTCCCGCCCAAATCACTATCGGCACTATCGCGGTTCTTCCCTGCACAACACTCGTATATATTTTTAATGTCTTTGTTCCACACCAATGAAAACAAAAACAAGTCAATGCAATTTTAAATTGATATTAACTTTAAATTTAAAAAATGATTCACTTCAATTTAACATTCACTGAATATAATTATAACATTTACAAAAAAAAATAACTTTAAAATGTTGATTTGATAATAAATCGTCTACAAAATTGGCGACCGGTGGGTCAGTTAAGCAATTTGATTGGTCTGCCTGACAGGACGAATCACAAAGATAAAAAAATTGTAAAGCTAGATTCACATTGGACCGAGCGTTACAACGTGTAACGCGTCAAAATTTGTCGAACGAGCTTTATTAAAAAACTAGCTGTACCCGCCCGCTTCGCTAGGCATTTAAAATGAACAT